TGTGGATATTTATATAGAGATCCTTATAGAAATATTTATAATTACAATTGTCTCTGGGGGTTCATGGAGGTTGGTCCTAGGACCTTTCACGGATACTAAAACCCTCAAGTGCTCAAGTCTGTATGTAATGCGGTGGTGCAGAATATGTAGATAACTGCCACATCCTTCACTACACTTGAGCTCATCAACAGATGATATGTAGATCTAATACAGTGTGAGTGCTACATAAATAGTTGTCAAACTGTAGAGCTTAGGAAATAATGACAAGGAAGGTCTGTTAATATTCAGTACAGACACCATTTTCTTTTCAAGCATCTTCGCTCTACCATAGCTTGAACCCACAGGTGTGAGCCCATGGTACGGAGGGCCGACTGCATGGTCAGGCCACTTACACTTACACAGAAGTTGTCAGGAGCTTCTATTTTGGACACGCAAGCTTTTAGTCATTGCGTCAGTTGTGATTTTCTGTTCCTCGTTCCAGTTTGAGGTTGGTGATAGAATTGTTACAGAAGTTTCACTGGGCTCAGACTGTAGCCTGTGGTCTTTAATTGACTGCTCAGTATGGAACAGAAAAGCCATTTCTAGATTCGAGCACAGCGGTGCCTCGGTTCATGAATGCTTTTGTTGGCAGATGATTTGGTTTCACAAGCAGAAGCATTTGGCAAATTTTGTTTTTGTTTGTGAACAAATACAGCATAGCCGTCTTCCCCACACAAGCACAAACATGGCCATCTTTTCCAGAATTGTAGAACAAATTAAGTTCATGAACCAAGGTGGCACTCCTTTTGTCAAAAAATTCCCTAGTAAAGAATCTTTGGGGGCTGGGGATATAGCTCAGTGGCATAAGCACCTGCCTGGCAAGCGCAAGGTTGTGAGTTTGATCCCTGGTACCACAAAAAAAAAGAATCTTTGTGTTGAAAAATGACTGGTACTTTCTCAAGTTTTAACTTTACAAAAAGAGCATAAGGTCTGCAATGAGATGGTTGTTGGCAACTTTAAGCAAGTTGTCAAGAAAAAATACAGACATATTTACAATTCTTAGAAATAAATTTTTTAAAAGAAAACTTTAACACTTACAGTTACAAAAACATTAATACTGCAGTAAGATAAATATATACATGGATATAATACAATTGAGGGCCCAAAAATAAACATGTATTGCTAGTTGATTTATTTTTTACTACATGTAATAGTATACAGGGGTACAATAAGGTATTTGAGCACATGTATATAACATGCACCAATCAAATCAGGGTAATTATTATAAATAGTTTTGTTCATGTGTAAGGCATGGACTTTTAATGTTTAAATACTTAAATTTTGATTTGGAATGTTAGTATAACCACTCCTATTCAATCTATTTCTGGAAACATTAGCCAAAGCAGTTAGAGAAGAGAGAGAAATAAAATGAATAAGGATAGGAAGGGAAGAAGTTAAATTATCATTATTTGCAGATGATATGATACTCTACATAGAAGACCCCAAAAAGTCTACCAAAAGACTTCTAGATTTAATAACCAAATTTAGTAGTGTAGCTGGATACAAAGTAAACACTCAAAAATCAATAGTATTCCTGTACACAAACAGCAAACTCACTGAGGGAGAAATTACGGAAACCACCCTTCACAATAGGATCCAAAAAATAGTTAGGAATCAATCTAACAAAAGTAAAAAATCTAGATACATTGAAATTACAGTACTCTGAAAAAAAGAGATTGAAGAGTATTTCAGAAAGTAGAAAGATATTCCTCGCTCATAGATAGGAAGAACCAACATTCTGAAAATACCCCCGCCGCCCCCCCCCAAAAAAACAGGGTTGGGGATATAGTTCAGTGGCATAAGTGCCTGGCTGGCAAGCATAAGGTTACGAGTTCAATCCCTGGTACCGCAAAAAAAAAAAAAAAAAAAGAAAATGGCCATACTTCCAAAACTGTCATACTGATTTATTGCAGTCCCAATCAAAGTACCATTAGCATACCTCACAGATCGAGAGAAAACGTTCCTAAAATTCATCTGGAACCAGAAGAGACCTAAAATAGCAAAGGCCATCATGGACAACAAAGATAGGGCAGTAGGCATCATAATCCCTGACTTGAAATTATACTACAAAGCTACCATGATAAAATCACCCTGGTATTGGCAAAAAAGACATGAGGATCCATGCTGCCATTTTATAGCAGCAACATTCACAATAGCCAGAAAGTGGAAGCTATCTAAGTGATCATTTTTGCATGCCTGCCATATTATTCAGCCTTGAAAAGGAGGGAAGTTCTGCATGCTACAGTGTGGAGGAATCTTGGTCTCACTGTAGTAAGCAAGCCAGCTGCCACAAAAGGACCAGGGTATGACTCCACTTGTATGAGGTGCCTAGAGTAACCAGTTTTTAGAGACAGAAAGTAGAATGTGGGTTGCCTGGGGCTAGAAGGATGAGGCTTCCAAGGAAGAGATCTGTGGGCAGGTGAGCACGAGAGTACAGCTTCCAAGGCAAGGGAAGTCTTCTCAGACACTGATTCTGTGGTGCCAGTGTCTGAGGAAGCTGAAATGCTACATGATCCTCACAGTTGCTGTCCTGTACATGAAGCAAACAGGAATGTTTTCACTGCACACCAGTATTAGTCACTACTGTGTTCATTTCCCCTAGTGAGCCCATGCAGGGTTGTACTTGTTACCCATGGTTTTGGGAACCACAGAAAATCTCTCAATGCCTAACACTATGAAGCTAGTATCAGAAGCACCGCAGCATGCAGCTGGTGGAGCATGGATTTGTCGTGAACATCTCTGTATGAAAACAGGTTCTCTTGCAGTCCAGAGACGGCACTTTTGTTCCGTGGCGGTGAGAATATAAGGTGCCTGTGTTGGCTGGATCATTTCTGTCACACTACAGTCTTTCTGTGAGCAGGATTAGGCACTGGAGGCCGGTAGAGCGTCCTGCTTTCCCTCTGAGAGAAAGGAGCAGGACTCAGCTGTGCATTCACACTCGGCTTCCTGTGCACAGAATCTGGTCTTCGAGCTCTTCTAAGACAGGTGAAGTGGGTGAGAATGTCTCAGTCAGTAACATTAGATAGCGTGGTTGATTATAAGAGAAAAGTGATAGGGGAATTTAGTGCAAGAGCATGAGAGTACATTTTTATTTGCTCTTTGTGTAACTGTTGTGCTGGTCTAATTTTGGACAAAATTGAGATCATCTGTGGACGTTCAAAAAAGGCTCCAAAGAACTGGAGTGTCTGCCACGTGTGCCATGTCCCCGCACTCATGATGGTCACTGTCAACATGCTGGCATCCTCTTTGCTTTGGGTTTCTTTGGTTTTGAGTGGGCTTGAAGAGGCTTTCATTTATTTACTGGTCATTTTTCTCTTTGGTGAATCATCTTTGTCACCCATATTCCATTGGGTTATTTATCTTTTCCTCAACAATTTGTAGGAACTCTGTCCATACCCATATTTGCTATAAATATTTCCCTCAGTTTGTTCTTACGTAGTTTTTTTTATTACTATTGGTTTAGTTTTTGCCTTTTCCCCAACCATTTGTGTCCTTTGATTCCTAGATCTTACATCGTAATTAAAGTTCTCTGCTTTAAAGTGTATTGTTGAAGATTTCTCCCAAGTTTTCTTCCAGAATTTTCATGGTTTCACATTTTCACTTTAACTGCAATGTATCTAGACTGTGTTTTGGCCTCAGGAGCAGAAGCGGGGGTAGACAATGCTGTATTTTAAGCTTGGTGTCCTGGTTTTCTGACTGATAAACATCATGCTCAGAGTAGTGTCCATGTAAGGCAGGTCGCTGTTGAGTTGGGGCAGTGCATGTGTGACACGGCAGGACTCCTCTGAAGTTGGGAGCATGGATGGCTTCTGCCTGGGCGAGGAGAGGAGAGCCTTGTATGTGCGTCCCTGCCACGGGCAGAGGGCCGGCTTGTAACCAGGGGTGCAGGTTGACCCCAGGTATATTGTAAGGCTTATTAGCCCCATGCAGAAGAGGTTTAGGCTGAACAAAGGTAACAGTTTCTCATCAGCATGTATTTGATGTGGGGTATACTGAAGTAGGGATTGTTTTTATAGAGATTTCATTGTGTAATTTGTCACATTTATAACTAAGTAGAATTCATTGATCCTTTTTAATGGGAAACTTGGGCCAGGGATATAGCTCAGTGGCACAAGTGGCTGCATGGCAAGTGCAAGGTCCTGAGTGCGATTCCTGGTACTAAAAAACAAATAAACAAACAAAATAATGGGAAACTCGATGATAACTTGATGGTGCCATTCTTGAGATGATTCATGGAGTTTTAGAACCGCTGGAACTTTAGACTGAGTGTAGAGTTAAGCAGTCCTCATGTTGTTGCCTGATGCATACCGCCCTCCTGCCTCAGGTAGGGACAATAGTCCATATGTTTCCTAGCGTCACAGCCCAGACACAGAGTTAGGGAGGAGGCTCTAGGGCTGTAGACTCACCAAGCAAGCTCGGAGCCTTCTGGTGTCTTTGGCGTTTGACTTCCTATGCGAAGAAACGTGGGTATTGGCTCAGCGACCACCTAGTTTGGTTGGAGTCACAGGTTAATTTTCACAGTTCCTGACGCTATTGTTGGAACTAGGCATTGTGAATACACTAAAACGTATTTCTTAGGGCCAGACCATTGGTGTACTAAGCATTACACTTAATTTTCTTTTTACTTTTTTGCCCTGGTTTATGTTTAGAAAAAGAAGTTCAATTGCTACCTTACCTTCATTAGTTTCAATAGTGATACTGTTATATTCCAGTATAAAAAATAAATGTCATATCTCAGGAAATGAATAAAGAACTCCTTTAGCTTTGTAGAACTAACTTGGAGTCAACAGGGAAAAAAAGGCATCCTTCCATTCAAAATAGGATTGTGACTTTCTGTGTAGAAATGTGTACATGTTCATTTTTCTGTGATAAAGATAACTTCTGATATTTTATATCTTAGTGTCATGTTAGAGATTTCATTCCATGATCATTTGTTCATTCACATGTATTTTTATTTTTAGCTCTAAGCGAAAGACATGAGGCCTCAGCCTGACATGAGGTGGTTTTGAGGTCATCCGATTTCTGGCTAGAAGTGTGCTGTCGCCTGGTCCTGAGACCACGTCACACAGAATGGTAATGGCAAACCCTAAGGGACAGAGAGGGGCCTCACATCTCCATGTCTGTTCCTATCCCTGTTCCTTCCTTTGTAAGATTTAAAAGCAGCATACTGACATAGCCTGAGTAAACTGCAGATGGTCAGTAGTTGGATTAACACCAGCCTCCACATGCTAATCAAACCAAAATTGTTTAATTAGAGGGTCTTTCTCTTTTTTCCAAGAGACCTCTTGGGCTGCTTGACTGGTAATAAGATATTTACTGTATTAGGAATTTGCAGGTTAAAGTGTTGGGCTTTTTTCTTTGAAAACCAGTAAGTTTAGTCTTAATAAATTTTTCAGACTAGAAAGTAAGGATTCTTGCCACAACATTCTTCTCCTATGATAAGGAAATTTGATGTTTTATGTAGATATTTATGTGTTTTACTTTCTGAAGTGTAAAGTGCCTATTGAGAATTTTAGCAGTAGTTAACTCTGCTTTAATTATTAGAAATTCAAAATATATTTTATAGTTCTACATAATAGAATAGTTTTTCTTCATTCAGCATTTTGGGGAATGTCTTCTCTCAGTGGCCACGTTTATTCTGATGGCCCCTGTCTTGCTAAGTATGTTGACGAGACTGTGCTTAAGGCCCGTACTAGGCTTTGCTCCCTAGGAAAAGAATTGCTCGAGTTCAGATTTTACACTAAGCTGCTTGCTAAGATAAGTGGTTTGTTATTCTGTTTCATTTCCTGTCTTACATGTAGCAGCATTAATAGCAAAAGCAGCATCACAAAATTACTTCTAAATTCTAAATCATGTTATTTAATTGATGAGATGCTTAGAAAATGAAGTTTCACTCCACTCTAGTATATGATGTGGGCAAAAATTCTAAGTTCTGTTCAACAGATAGTATTTTTGTTTTCACACAAAAGTTATATTTTTATGTTTTCTACTAGAGGGCCAGTTGTCAGTCTAGTGCTGTACATGATCTCATTTTCCTGCAGCCTTTTCTTACCCTTTATTTTAGATATTGACAATGACTTGAAAATTAGAGAGCGTGCCTGTGACTTTCTGTCATGATAGAATCATTTGTGTACAATGAGGAGCAGCTACTCGCAAGCTTGAGAAGTGGGTGACCTTATGTCTGTGGTCCCCTTATGCTTGCAGGCCAGCCCCGGTCTGTTCCGAGAGCGCCCTGGAGCACCTGACTTTGTTCGGCCAGCTCTCCTTATGTATAATTTTATATTTCTACACGTGTGAACTCAGAACTGTTGGTTTTCTTTAGAATCATTAAATAAACTGATACAAGTAGCATGGTATTTAAGCCTGTTGTAGGAGAGCTTTTCATGTAGTTTATTTCTGTGTAGCAATACTATTTTAATGCCAACAATTACTGGTAACTATCTTTTGGGGAGTTTTGAATTCTTCTGCTTAACCTCTCCCTCAATTTTTCTTCCCTTTTTTTTTCTTTTTATTAAAACTCCTAATGGATTGGGCTGTTTTGAGGTTAGAAAATCTTTGAAGAATGTCTTTATTTCATGTCCTAGAAGTTAATCTGGAACAACAAAGACTTTACTGTTAATTGGCTAGGAAAGTAGTTTCTAATGGTATGAGTTGTACAGGAATGAAATCTATAATTTCATTTATGCATTTGAAGGTTATTGTGATGATAGCTTTCACAAGAAAATACAGAACTAATGCCACTTTAAAGCCTCACATTGTAAATGTGAACATATTTTAACCCAGTAAATATTAGATAAATAGGTGATATGTATGATGTTTAGTATTTATTTTGATAAACTTCCTGGTTTCTAAATAAAATTTTGATATTAAACTTGAGGTATAAATGTAAGATGAGAAAAAGCACTAACATTAAGATGTTTTAAAAATTATAAAAGTAACTACCTTTTCTGAGAACGTCTTTTCCTTTGACATTGTTTAATTCTGTTCCCTTTTTTGTTTTTTAGGTTTGCAATTTTTTTTGGTGATGGCATGTTCAGAATCTTGGATCCCTAAGTTGAATATGTTGGAAATATTTAGGAATCTTGGAAATTATATGATTACTTAGTAGGTGAAATAGTAAATTCAATAAAAGTCTATAAAAGAACTTTGTCCTTTTAAGTTGGCATGCATGTCTGAAATTATCAGCTGTCAGTATTAGTGTCATACTCTTTTGAGGGTTTGGGGTTTGTATTTTCCAAGGAAGTTATGTAACTCCTCCCATGCCTGTTCGGTTAGCTTCGCTTCTTTTCTCTCTACCTTAAGTGTATGTTACTTGGATCACAGTGCTTCTTGATCAGAACTGAAGAAGAGGGGGAAAAAATCAAGTGACAATCGTAAAGGTGGTAATTATGAAATTTCAACCTGGAGATCATCTGTATTAGAATATGAAAATTCTACCCAAATTTACCCAAATACACTTGTGGTAAAATGCTTCTAGTTTTCAAAATTAGATATTATCATACAGGACAGGAATGCTAATGAGGAAAGAAAACAGCTGTTCGTTTTTCACCTCTTTGCTCCCCCTTCCTCTCTTATGAGGTGAATTAGCTACATACTAGCTAAAAGGTAGGTGATGTGAATAAAAAGGAAGCGAAGGGAAATAACTTGGGTCTCCAGGAAGGATCAGTTTCCCTGCAGAGTTGAAAGGTTACCATCTCCCGTGTAGCTGAACACACTTTCCGGTTGTGGGCTACTCCTGTGAGCCTGGACCATGGCCAAGGGTGGCTTTGACCGGGGGTGGATGGAGAGCTGGTATTTCATAGTACCAGACAGCCCATGAGGGGCTGTAGGGCCAGTCTTTCCTCAGCCTCGCCTGTTCCTGCTGGGATTAAGAAACCTGAGAACGTGCTGGGGGAGACAGTTGTACGGTGATCGAATACAGGTGCCTCCCTGCTCTTGTGCCCCAAACTGGCTAAGACTGATTTTTAAGACCACAGTGAGAAACAACTTGGAAATGGATTGAAGGGGAAGGATGAAGACAATAGGGAACTTGAGACTGATGACAGCTTGGGAGAGTATTCACGTATGAATTTATTGCAAGGTTTGTTGGTGGATCATCCAGAATTCATGAAATCAATGTACGTCTGCAGTGGGCATTTCTTCAGATTTCTTTTGGAAAGCTTTTAGAGGCTGAAGGGCTGCCCATTACCCCTGCTCCCTTTTTTGTTTTGCTTTATTACAAGAGAAATTGGCCATTGTATGTTTAATAGCAGGCACAATACAAACATTAGATTTTATTTTAAAATCAAATTGTATTTTAATCTAAACGTGTGTTTCCTGTTTAGCTGTTTTCCCATTACAACTGGCTTTTTAAAAACTCTCCTTGTGTGATACTTTTGTCAATAGAGGTGTTTCCTCTTAGCCAATTCTAGCCACAGTATTGATGAGACCTAGGCATTTGATATACCCAGAAGGAATTATCCAAGCAGGAAAAAACTCAGTCTCTACTGGAATGAATATTTCAAAGGCCTTCTTAGATTCTGAAAACTGTGAGTACAAATGAAAGAGACCCAAGAGAGGGCAAAACCTAAGAATCTTACAATAAGAGGTGGGGGTGGGTAAGGGTAAATTTCATAGAGCTAACCTGAAATGCACTAAGGGGAGGGAATTACTTTCCTGGAGAGATAAGAAGGCGTGTGGGATGCCTTAGTAAGACGCATTTTGTTGTTTTGGGTAACACACTAGCTTTCTGCAGTATTTGAAGCATAGTGATGTGGTCTTTGGAAATACCGAGGCATTTCCAAACACTGAGTATGATTTTATTCCGGTATGTTCTAAAGGGGTGTATGGCTCATTTGCTTCATTCCAGAAAGTACATTGGATATTAGACATACGAACAAAGTTGTGTTGTCCTTGTATAACTCAAGAAATAGAGTGGAATACTGAGCATTACCGAGAATTTAGTGCATGCATATAATCAGTGTTTGATGGTTGTTTCCTAGGAACTTTGGAATGAAATTTTCTATTTGTCTTATGTCAGCCTAAGTTACATTGTGAGAGCATTTTAGTGTGTGTCTCGTTGGAAGTGTGTACATTCCTGAGCCACTGCACTTCATAACCCAGCACATTGCTGACAAAGTCTCACTGTTTATCCCTGGAGGAATCGAGAGAGTTGGAACACCGAGCACAGGGCGACCCAGAGGAAGTGAGCTACAGCGATGGCCCTTTTGTTTTGGAGTTTCAGACAAACTCCTATGAGACATGTAAGAAAAGCCAGGGTTCCTCTTGGCAAGAAGACTGCGCAGACCTGGTGTTTCCCTGCAGTTTCCAGGTGTGCAGGGGCTGCTCGCTGCCGAGTGTCAGGAAGCCCTGCTGTGAAAGGTCCTCTTCCTGTACTTTTTTCCTTGTTCCAACTTTGTTCTGGCTCTCTCAGTGATTCCCTGCCGCCTTAGAATGGGACATCCGTCTGGAAGGATGCTACTGTCTCGGCACAGAGACCTGCATCCATGAGTTGAGAGCTTCACAGTGAATCGGCCAAAACTCTCTGCGAAGGGTGCATGGAGCACCGTGCAAGAGAAAATCAGAGGCTGAGGCTCCTGCTGATGAAAGGATTGTTTCAGAATATGTTGAATATTGATGTTTTTAAAATGAGCTTGCTAAAATTCCTGATGAATATGAACTTTTCTCCTTGAGTCCTTCTCATGTCCCAGGATGTCAGATTCATGCTGTAAATTGTGTATGTCAAATTAAAATAGAGATTAGAAATTCGGAGTTCTGTTGTTTTGTGACTTGAATTTGCAGCACATTTTCAGAAAAATTGTCAAGATTCACAGATAATTTCATTTTTATTCCTTTCTTTCCAAGTGTATGATTATTGGTCAGTTTTATTTAACTCATTTATAAATTTAGACAATATTATCAGTACATATTTTGACACAGAATGGATGCATTTGAGTTATATTACTAGAAACATATTTCAGCAACAAAAATGTCCTTTGCCTAGCTCCGATCTCCCTTGTGTAACCTCAGCTCACCTGCTTGCCGTGTTGCTCACTGGGAATTTCCTACAAATCCAACTCAGAAGTCATCCTGGGAAAATCAAGAGACTGAAGAAACTCTACTCCTGGGACTAAGTAGATGGAAGAGCATCTTCAAGGGGTGACGTAGCCCCTTTGAGAAGCACTGCTGTTTGTATGTGAGACAGAATGTGTCTTTCTGAATTGGACCTGTAGACATGAACTAGCTTTATAGCCATGTGCCTTCAGTGTTAGCAAAGTAGAACTCCCCTCTGAGACACTTCCTTCAGTATAGTCTGGTGGAGGGGAGTCTGGATCAGTAGGCCAACTGAAAGTTAGATATCATAGTTCAGGATTTGAAGGTATTTTTTTAGTTCCTTTGAGAGTATAATGTTCTGGGCTTCCACAGTGTGTGCTTCACAATTTCACCTCCCCAGAGAGGGTGACTCAGGGGAGGAGCCCAAGTTCATCCACACCTCAGATACCAGTGCTCTGTCCTCGGAGCTATCCCATACCGGTAATGTGAATGTACACAAGGGACTCATCCGCCTGCCCATTCTTCCCAAGTGATGGTACTGTTTATTTCCCAGCCTGCCCGATTTCAACCCCTTCGTCTAAGATAGAAGCATCACCTGCAGTTGAGCCTTCTTCCCACCGCAGTGTTGGATTTTGTCCTGCTGAAGACAGGAGCTCTGCAGCTTCTTTGCTGTAAAGAGTCTGGCTTTTATTTCCATCTCCCAGAGGTGGGGATCTTGGCTGTCTAAGGTTTGTTTGTGGGCTTCTATGTCTTAAGTTCCCAGCATTGTATTGTAAAGGTGGCCTTTTGTTAGAGCAGTGAAGTAGCCGCCTTGGCTCTGTGCTCTGCACTGGCCAGAGCTAGACCACATTCACCTGAGGCCAGGAGGGACCTGGCATCCACCAGGCATGGGAGGCTCACAACTGACCTTGGAAGGTGCTAGAGTGGTCAGGTGGAGGAGGTAATGAGATCACCTGTTTCCTTGTGTGCTGGTAAAAACATGCAGAGGAAGTGGTTGTGTCAAGATTTTGATGGCAAGATTTGCCAGAAAATAAGACATCTTTTTAGGCCCACTATTCATGTCTTCAAAAAAAAACTTTAAAAAGTACCATATTATACTGATATAATAAAAATACTACTATAAAATTTCACGTACAGTTTTCGTAATCACTGTATATGTGTTGTGTGTAGAAGGATACCCTAATAACTTTCTGACTCTTGCTCTGATAAAAACTAAATGGTCTAATTACTTAAAACCTAATAGTTGCATTTTTGAGAAAAATTTTAAAGCATGACTATTGTTACTTTTCCTATAGTGTACAAATATTCTCAGAAGCTGCTTGCCTCTGTGTGTGTGTGTGTGTGTGTGTTTATGTGTGTGAGAAAATACTGTAATCACAGTCCGTCTATTAAGTGAGAGTCTGAACTTTGTATTTACCGAGTGGGGGACTTGAAATGTCCATTAAGCAATTCTGTGTATATGGTAAACTTTGAATAAAGTAACTGTACTCTGAAGCAGCATTTAGTACATACATTTTTGTTTAAGAAAACGTATGTGGATTAAAGGACATGAATTAAAATCTGTAAATAAATCCATCTCAGTCAGGGTTTGCAGCTTTTCTGCCCAGAGTTAACCGTGGTGTAACAGTGGCGGTGGCCAAAGGGAGTGGTGGGACTTGTAGCTCAAAGGGAAAGCAGGGCTTCGTCTGATTCCCCTGGGGGCACTGTGTCCTGTGGGCCTGGAACAAGACAGGGCGATGTTACTTTTTTTAAAATTGTCTTTCTTTATGCCCTTTGCTATGTCCCCAATATTTTATAAAATCAAAAGTCCACAGTTCTGCCTTCTCTAAAAATAATTCTAAAATATTTATTGGTCTGTGCAATCAGTAGGCTGGGAGCTGCTGTTTCTTGGAACTGTATCATAAGTTTTAGCACATTAAGATCTCAATTGTACCATTTAATTTTGTGTATCCCATGACCAGTAACTCATAGGACAGTAATAGGGGTGTCTGAGAACAGCATGGGAAAGTTTAGATCATCACTTAAGCATTGCTGTGCAGTGAGAGTCCTTGTAAAAGCCTGATAAAGTGGTAGTGAAAAATACAGCTAGAATCATCCCGTTTTAGCTAACTCTGAAAAAGAGCTTTCTGGAAATCACTTGAAACGGATCACGAGTAGTCATACAAATAAAAGTGAACTGAAAACTCAGGTGATGTGAAGATGCACTACAACACAGACTTTCAGAAAATCATTTACATTGCCTTGCTGCTAATTTTCTAACCTTCTAAGTAGTCACCAACTTAGAAAAAATTGTATACCAATAAGTGGGCCAAATGGTGCAGATAGTTCTAAGACTTGCATTATTTTTATTTCTCCTCACCTATAAATCAGATGTAGGATTGACTATATGTGATGATCTAGTGTGATTAGACTGCCTTTATTAGCTAGCTTTAAAAAAAAAATGGCGCATCACGGAGGATGTATTGGAGCCACCTTATAGGCCATCAACTCTGGAAAGCACTTTAGATGCAACGTGTTAACCTCTGATCTCTGAAGAAGACGCTGGGATTTTTTTCCTTGTCTTCTCCAAGAATATCTTTCCTCCGTGGTTGCTTGTAGGTAGGAAGTTCAGAGGGAACTTGTGATCTTCGGTATAGTTTATTAGACTCCAAAGTACCTGCCGTTATGTCCCTGGATATTGCAGAATTTTTACTGAATTGCTCATTAGGGAAAGCTCAATGTATTCTGTATTAAGTGTCTTCCTTAGAGACTTTTTCTTAGGAGACCCAACATTGAATTATTAAACCCTGGGCTATGATTAGTGAGGCAGGCACCTGCTTCCTGTATTCACTGGGACTTGAAAGCAAGAAGGCAATTACTGAAGAAAATGAAATTGGCTGGAGAGATACTTGGGGCTTCGTGTGTCACATTGCTCCGCATCCTTTCCCATGGGTGCAATGCAAGACCCTCCACAAGGGCTTTCAAGTTTCACGGTGCTGGATGGCAGTATTTGTCATTAAAATTTTGCATTATATTTTGAACATTCCCAATTTTGCAGTAGAGAAAAAAATTGTAAACCAATATTTATTGAAATAATTTCACTAAAATACTACATAACCAAAGATTGTGGTACATTGGCCATGTTCTGTGTTGAAGAGAAACTGCAAGTTTCTGACTGTGGGCAGGGTGTGACAGGTACAGGCAGGGAGCTTGTCTTTTTTCCAGTCCTCAGTCTTGCTGCAAAAGCCAAGTGTCATTTTTAATTAAGTGACATCTCAGACTTCCCCTTAAAATGAGGATTTTCTCCAACTCTTGGTTGGGTTTTGGTGGCCATTTTCACCTTAGAAATCCACATTAGAAAGGGTTATTGTACAATTTTAAGAGCCCCCTTTGTGGAATGTTCAAGAACGTATACAAAACGCTATTGCAGGATCGCTTCCCTGAGCAGTGATTTCAGTACCAGCCCGGTGCAGGGTAATGTGCAGCTCACGGGTGGCTGGGGTCCCATCCCCGTGGTCCTCGCGGGCTTGATTCGGCACAGTTCTGGCTTGACTCACATGACTGAATCTCTGAGCAGTGGGGCTTCTTAATGATTGTACAAAGATTACAGCAGGTGTTGGAGCATTGCTTTACTCATCTACCAAAGAAATTGTTCCACGTTTCTCCGGGAAGCTATTGTAGCAAATTGTAGTTTTTCCCTTCCTCTGTGTTTCATTTCTTATATCTATCTGTCTAAATTGAAATTAAGTAGGATTCAGTAGCTCCATTTCCTTTTTTAAAAAAAGTACTGTTGGCAGCTGACCTAAAACTTTTATCTCATACTTACTATTGCTTATAATACCTGAATCTTGTAAAGATGTATATAAAAATTCAAATGATAGCCGGGCGTGGTGGTGGCGCACTCCTGTAATCCTAGCACTCGGGAAGCTGAGGCAGGAGGATCGTTGTGAGTTCGAGACCAGCCTGGGCTACAAAGTGAGCTCAAGGCCAGCCTGAACTGCACAGTGAGACCCCGCTTCAAAAAGATTTAAAAAAAAAAAAAATTCAAATAATGCAGAAGAAAATAAGAGAGTTTACTGTCACACTATCGATACCCCAAGCATGATCATTTCTCACCCCTTCGCTCCCAGCTGTATGGAGCCCATGTTTTCCATACCAGCAGCTTCCTTTTTGACAGCTGCTTGGTGTGTAACCAACTCCTCTTTGCTGGAAATTAAATCTTTTATAGTTTTTGTTACTTGGGTTGTTCGCAGTTTTTTACTCTTAAAAACTCGCTTTTAGTGACTCCCCTCGGATCTGCGTTATTACAAGGTGTGGACGGTACGCTTCTTGCTTCAGACACATAACCCTGCTCCTCAGCCCCTGGCCCGTGTGCCACCACCCAACCTGGCATCTGCTGTTGGCGAGTCGCATTTGCAGCCCTGGCTGAGGCCAAAGCCAACACAAGGTTTTCCAGTGTAACATGATTAGCATGAGTCAGAGACAAACTAAAGCTGAACTTTCTAGCTTCCTCTTGTGAAACTGCTTTCAGTCCAAATTCTACTAGTCTTAGGCAGATCAGAGCAAAGCGACAACAGTGAAATCGAAAATCATACAGCAAGGTTCTGGTGTTACTCTCAGTCTATGCAGTCTTTAAGAGCTAAGTGTGAGCATTAACTGGATTTTATTTTAGGTAGAGCTGCCCTTGAAGTAGTCTAATTGGACTCACGGCTGCTCAGTGCTGGTCTTCTGCCCAAGTTGTCCTCAGCTGCTTTGTGGTCTTAAGATATCTGAGTAGTTTCCAGATTAAACAGTTGGACACTGAATACAGAAGAACCCAAAGCATGAAGGACTCTGTCCTGTTATATGGGATGCTTGGCTTCAGTTGGAGTCATCAACTGATTCTCTTGAGAATGAGCTCTCCCTAGGATCAGGCTATAGCGCCTCTCCCATCACTCACCCCTCCCCTCCCTACTTCAGGCCTTTGCCATCTGTTACTCACTTGCTAAGGATACTCCTGCTCAGGCACTTGCAAGACTGTCCTTGGCAACGTGCACTTCTACTGAAGCCAGGCCTTCTCTGACCAGCCTGTCTGAAGCGGCACCCCTGTCCTTATCTCCCTGCTTTCCTCACAGCAGTGGTCATGACCTGACACTTTATATTCCCCACACACTAGAAATACAAGCTCAGGGAGAGCAGGGTCTTTATTTTCCTCAAGGCTGTTTCCTGAAGACCTAGAACAGACCCAGATGGATGTTAGAAACTCGATATCCATTCATTGAATATAGGTGCATAAGTGCCCCCTACTTCCACCCAGGGCCTTGTAGAGAAACTTGGAGATTCTGAATCCTAGATTTAGAAATAAAGGACTTACAGGGTGCCCAGGCAGGACTGCCTTGGCCAGCAGTACCACGCCTGCCTCCAGCTCTCTGCCTGTGTGTTCCTGAAAGCCAGAGCCTGCAGTGCCCCCAGATTGCCTCCTGCCCTCCCAAGGCCAATCTCAGATCTCTGGTGCATGGAGGCTGCATGCAGGGTGGCGGAGAGTCATGCAGAGCCCTGCTGTTGGCAGGAAGCGATGGGTGTGGTGCTGTCCTGGTTGGGGGCAAAGAGGGGAGTGGGAGTAAGCCCACCTCAGGGTGCTCAGGGCAGAGAAACTGAACTTTATTACTCTTGTTTTCTGCTTGACTACATCCTTTTAAATGTTTTTATAGAAAATAGTACAGAAAATCTCTAGACTCAGAAAGTCTTAACTCAAAATCAACTTTTGAAACAAAACTATTTGTTCTTTCATCCTTCCCCTACTTAAGATTCAAAGAAAGGGGAAGAGAGGAAAACTGTTTCTTCAAGAATGTGGACAGATCAAAACTGAAGAGAATAGGAATCGTCGGTTGGTCTTCTCACTTACACAAGCCGTACATGAAGTCTTTAAAAATAAATTACTCAGATACTCAAAAGGAGGTCCTTTCATCTTTTCTGTGAGAAGTGACTTGAAAACAGGAGTATGGTGGAAACCTGTGGCCAAGTAACCCTAACCTGTGGACACAGCCTTCCTGCCTAGTTCTGATGAAACAGTTGTGGTCTCAGCTATGAAAATACCGAAGTAAAGTCCTACTGTGTGCTTTCTGGCTTGCTATTCTAAGAATGGGAATTATGCATGGTGTTAACTGCTTTGGGAAAAGCCAGAGACTGGTAAAAACAGGACCTCATGCTCAGCCTGCCTGCTGGGGCCTCTTGCTCACATACCAGCTCTTAGAAATACTGCTGCAAGGATTGATGGGTTCCCCCTGCTGAGTCCTCCAACTCTTGTGCGTGTGTGCACGCATGCCCCTCACCTAATCCAATTGCAGATTGGGGTTTAGTTGTTCTGGAGGGGAGCATGGGAACCTCCTGACTAGCTCGCAGGGGAAGCCAGTTGCTGCTGTCCATGCTGCACACTGGAACGAGGAAGTCTTGAGCTTGCCAAGACCTGTGGCGTGTGTTGTTTTCGTAGCAACTTTCTAACTGCCCTGGGAGCTTGGCAGTGCCGGTGTGACCTC